AAAAAAAAAAAAAAAAAAAAAAGTTAAGCAAATTCATTGACCAGGCAATCTCTCCTAGTAATTGGTCCCCAGAAAGGCTTCTGGATGGGTAGAGAAAGACCAGGGAGAAGGTCTTGGAGCCAATCAGGGTGAGGACCATGTGGGGCCTTGGCTGGCATGAGTTAGAAGATGATCAGCCAAGTTGGATGCTGAGTGGGCCCTAAGGCTATGCCTGCCCCATCATCCCATTGCCCCCTTCTTTCAGAGCAAGTTTGACAACCTCTATGGCTGCCGGGAGTCCCTCATTGATGGCATCAAACGGGCCACAGATGTGATGATTGCAGGCAAGGTGGCAGTAGTAGCAGGCTATGGTGATGTAGGCAAAGGCTGTGCCCAGGCTCTGAGGGGTTTCGGGGCACGCGTCATCATCACCGAGATCGATCCCATCATCGCACTACAGGCTGCCATGGAGGGTACGACAGGGGAAGTTTGTTGTCAGCCACTGGGGCCAGAGGAGGGCAAGGCCACCATAGATGATTCACAGCCACTGTCTTTGCATAGGCTATGAAGTGACAACCATGGATGAGGCCTGTCAAGAGGGCAACATCTTTGTCACCACCACAGGCTGTACTGACATAATTCTTGGTCGGTAGGTGCCAGATGGGGCCCAGGGGAGCAAGGGAGTAGGGTGGGCTAGGAGTGCTTTTTGTCCCTGACAGTCTCCCCTCAGCTTGGGGTCTCTCGTAGGCACTTTGAGCAGATGAAGGATGATGCTGTTGTGTGTAACATTGGACACTTTGATGTGGAGATAGATGTCAAGTGGCTTAATGAGAATGCTGTGAAGAAGGTGAACATTAAGCCCCAGGTGAGAAGCTCCAGCCTTGCCAGCAGGGTGGCAAGTGGAGGGCTGAGGAGGGACATGCTGGTGGGCCAGCCACCAAGGAGGTTGCAGTCTACACAGTGAGATGGGGGGGAGGAAGACCTGGTTTCATATCCAGGCTTAAAGGGTCAGACTTTATCCTGAGGGCAGCTAGAATCCCTAATGGTATAAGACAGGTACATCTTTTTGCTGTTTGAAAAAGATCACTCTTACTACTGTGTGGAAAGGGGAAACCGTGGCAGGGAAGACGGGCTAGGGATGGGTGAACTGGGTTTGGGCTCAGGCTGGGAGGAAACAAAAAGAATGCTCAGTCTGGCTTGGACAGCTGTGTGAAAAGTAGGCCTGTTGACTGAGTTGGGGGAAGAACAGGTTTGCAGTGGGGCATTGAAAGAAGAGTTCTGAGGAGTATGGGAAATTTTATTTGGATTTATTTACTGTGGGTTTATTTTTTTTCCCTCTGATCATAATAGTAATGTGTATAATAGTAATATGGGAAGATAGTTTGGCTTTAGGTATTTTATGAGCTTTAAAGTGAAGCAAACTCTGGCACTAAAGAAGTGTTTGTTCAAAAAAGTAGATAAGTAAAAATAAAGTTAGGTTAGGTGCTGTGACTCAACACCTGTCATCCTATCACTCTGGAAGGCCAAGGTGGATCCCTTGGGCTCAGGAGTTTGGGACCATTCTGAGCAAAGTCAGAGCCTGCCTTTACTAAAAATAGAAAAAATTAGCTGGGCATTGTGGTGGCCACCTGTAGTTCCCACTACTCATGAGGCTAAGGCAGGAGGATCACTTGAAGCCAGGAATTTGCAGTTGCTATGAGCTAGGCTGACTCCTCAGCACTCTATCCCCAGTGACAGAGCAAGACTCAATCTCCATAAAAAACAATAAAGTTAAGCAAACTCTTGACTGGGCAATCTCTTCCAATAACTAGTCCTCAGGAAATAATTAAGCATGTATACACAGATGTTCATCACACTTTTAAAAGGGGGGAAACCCCACTTATTGTGGGGTGCTTTGAGTTAGTGCCCATGATGTCTTTGACATGTTATGTAGATGTAGACACAGAGCTGGCCGTAGTGCCACACCAGAATCCCTAGCCCAGGGAGGCAAACAGCAATTCTGTGAACATACACTGCACATCTATATGCCCCACATTACTGCTCTTGGGCCCTCTACCCCAGAGTGGGAGTTCTCCTTGGCTAAGTCCTGTGCTAGCTTAGGAGTGTCAGTTCCTGGCTAGGAAGAGGGTGCCTCCATCTCTCTGCCTAGAAGGCAGTCACCTCAGCATGGGACTGGGCAGGGCATGCTTCCCTGGCAGTCGTGCCCCTGAGAGCCACCAGGGTGATGGGGCACATCTCCCTTATGCTGTCCTCCAAGGTTGGACTTTATCTTCACTCTCAAAATCCTTGACAGTCATCCCAAGTTCATCTCTTGTCTGTCCTGAGCCACACTATGGGCCACTCAGAGGCCAAGGAGTATCCCCATTTTTTAAAAACTTCTGAGGTGATTGCCATGTGCAGACAGCCAAAGTGGAGCACTATTCCAGTTAACTTTTACTAAGCTTTCCTTAGCGGTATTCAATTATTTGCTTGTTATTGAGAACACGGAGTCTGTCCTCAGGCTGTCTAGGCTCTAATTGTAGCTACTTCTTAGTGTGTGGCTCTGGACAAGTGACTTAATCCTATAAACTTCATTATCTTTATCTGTAAAATGGGGATGGTAGCAGTAATAAAGTCATAGGGTTGTTTTTAGGAGGAAATGTAATAATCATATGTAAAAGACATAGTCCAGGGCACATGGTAATAGTGACATTAGTGCTTCTTACTGAGTACCTAGCATGAGGATGTGCTTTCCATGTCTCAGCTCATTAAATTCTTCTTACAGCAGACCTGTAATATCTGCATCTCAGAGTTGCTTAATAAATATAGGTTGTTAATAATTGCATGTGCCAGGCCCCGTGCTAGAGGTTGTACAGGGGCAGTTCAGGTGCTATTGAACTGTTGTTGTTCAAGCAGGGAGGCCCACTGGACAAGAGGGTGGGGTGTGGTGGGGGACTCTGCAGCAGTGCCCCACCAGCCCTCACTGTTGCTCTGCCCACTTGCAGGTGGACCGATACTTTCTGAAGAATGGGCGCCGCATCATCCTGCTGGCCGAGGGCCGGCTGGTCAACCTAGGTTGTGCCATGGGCCACCCCAGCTTCGTGATGAGCAATTCCTTCACCAACCAGGTTCTGGCACAGATTGAACTTTGGACTCACCCAGACAAGTACTCTGTTGGGGTTCACTTCCTGCCTAAAAAGGTGAGTTCTCAATTCTTCCTCAAGCCAAGGGTCATATGTCTAAGCCTGGGCTTCCCATACCGGGCTTGCCAGGGGTTATAGAGGGCTTGCCTGGCTGCCTTCTTCGAGGTCCTCAGGGGATCCTCTTCAGTGCAGAAATCATTCTCCCCAAGTGACAGAAGAGGAAACTAAGCTCAAAGTGGGGAAAGATTCCTTGGCACACACCAGGTGGCAGGATGAGGTGATGAGAAGAGTCTGGGTTTGGAGACCAGTCCTAGGTTTGACTCTCACCTCCCTACATAGAGGCTGTGTAACTAGGGCAAGTTTTTTTTGTTTTTTTTTTTTTTGAGACAAAGTCTCATTCTGTCTCCCTTTTTTAGCTTCCAGCAACCTCAAACTCCTGGGCTCAAGCGATCCTCTCGCCTCAGCCTCCCAAGTAGCCAGGACTGTAGGCGCCCACTAAAAAACATTTTTTTTCTGTTTTTAGTAGAGACAAGGTCTCTCACTCACACTTGGTCATGCTGGTCTCAAACTCCTGAATTCAGGCGATCCACCTACATCAGCCTCAAAGAGTGCTAGGATTATAGGTGTAAGCTACTGCATCTGGTCTGGGGCAAGTTATTTAACTTCTCTGTGCCTCCATTCCCTCATCTATGAAATGAAGATAATAGTACCTCCCCTCAGGATTGTGAGGATTTCCTCTGATTAGGGTCAGGAGCCCACATGCCCACAGGCATTGGGCAGGTAAATGAACGAAGCAGGCTGGATGGGAGTGAATAGCTGAAGAGCAAATGCCCCAGGTGAAGGGGTGGCTGCCACTCAGTTGTCACCACTGGGGCACCCAGATCCACTGAACTAGGCCTCTCAACCTTTCAAGAAGAAAATAAAAAGGATAAAAAAAACTTTCAAGAGATTCCAGATACCAGGATCTTTATGAAATAATCAATTTTTTACACAGACAACTCATTATAGTTTTTAACAATAACTGGGTAGGTCAACTTGGATATGAGTGTAGACTGAGTGTACGCTGCAGGCCTGTGGCCTTGGGATAAGGTGATACATCACTAAGTGTGGCTGTGGGTGTGTGGTCAGCATAAGCACGACTAGAGGTCCTCTGACATCAAATGCAGTGCTCACTCTATGCAATCTGCCCATCCCCCAGGGTCAGAATTGCTGTTTTAGTCCTGGCTCTTTTTGCCAGTATCATAGATGAATTTTGCCACTTACCCTGTCTGGTCTTAAATTTTCCTTTCTGCTAAATCAGTGGTTCTCAACCTTCCTAATACCATGACCCTTTAATATAGTTCCTCATGTTGTGGTGACCTCCAACCATAAAATTATTTTTGTTGCTACTTCATAACTGTAATTTTGCTACTGTTATGGATTGTAATGTAAATATCTTTTATGCAGGATGTATTCAGGTGATCCCTGTGAAAGGGTTGTTCGACCCCCAAAGGGTTCGCAACACATAGGTTGAGAACCGCTGAGCTAAATGTTAAGAGTGGCTCTTGGTCTTCTAGCCTTTGGTTGCTGGAGAGGCCTTGATGGTCTCAAACCACTGATCTACCTCTTGAAAGCCTCCTGTCATTTGAAGAGGAGGTAGGAAAAGGCCTGCAGCATCTGTTTCCAGGGCCAGCCAACTTCTTTGTCCTGGTCTCCCTGGGGCACTTGTCTTTTTGGACAACTGTTTTACCCATAGAGACTTCAGGGGGATACCCCATTCTGTGCAGTCAGGGCTGCAGGTTTGTTGTGGGATTGATTTTTTTTTTTTTTTTTTTTACTTGATCCTAGTCTCACTCTAATTGGGTGAAATATGGCTATGAGTTTGGTGAGAAATGGTCAGACCTTTGATATGAGGCCAGGGATAGAAGTGAAAGAGGAAAAGATTTCACCTTCTACCCTAGCACCTGGCCCCATCCTTACCTCTTTCCTTCATTATTACCAAGACATGGAAGACAGAGCTCAGGGACAGGACATTCTTGGCTTCACACCATATGTGTGTTAACCTTGGTTAACAACAGTGACAGAGAGAGCAGCCACTTGTACTAACCACTCTTAATAGCACTGGTATTTGTAACAGCCTTGAGAGATCAATGATCCGTCCTACGAATGTGGAAACTAAGGTTTAAAGATTGACTTGCTCTCACTGTACAGCTGTTAAGTACATGTATTAGGCTAGGAGTAGAATCCAGTTCTGTTCAAGTTCTTGACCATTATGACATGACACACTGCCTTTTGGTGTGGGGTGCTGGGAGAAGTTCTTGGGTTAGTCCAGGCCATGCAAAAGAACATTTCAGTTTGTATTCTGGGAGTTCTGCCTCTGTAACTGGCAGGGACTCAGGGCTGAGCTCTGCTCCTACCTTTACCTGCCTTGTTGAGCACGTTGTCCGCTTCTCTAGGCCCTTTTCTTTATCTGTTAAATACAAGGAGAAACCCTGTCCTTCCTCTTCTTAGAGATGTTTGTGAGGCTCTAATGAGATAATGGAATGTGAAAAACTCTGGGCTGCGTTGTAGTCAAAGACTGTCATGCCATTCTGGAATGGGATTTGGGACCCTAAAGGATAGGAAGAGGCCCCACCCCGTGCTAGAAGCTGAGAAACTCAAGAGTTGACCCTTCTTTAAGTGTGGCCTCTTGGCCTTCATTTCAGGCTCCTTTTACGCATGTCAGCACTGGTAAGCATTAGAGTCTTGCCTTAGTTAACCCTGGCCTGAATCTCTGGTTTCTACTTGATGTTTTCTTTTTTGTTTTTTTGAGACAGAGACTCACTATGTCACTCTTTTCATTAAGATAGAGCACTGTGGTGTCACAGTTGACAACAACCTCAAACTCTTGGGCTCAAATGATTCTCCTGCCCTAGTCTCCCAAGCAGCTGGGAACATAGGCACCTACCACAATGCCCAGCTTTTTTTTTTTTTTTT